ATTTTCCATTCTTCTTTTATTGCTCCTTTTTAATTTAGTTACCATGTCTGCTTCTCCTCTTCTTCTCACAGCCTCATTTTTCTATTTCTCTCTGATACATTCCCTTCTTCAAGTTATCCATAACCAGTAAACCAATAGGTTTCACCACTGCTCTCTTGCAGCTTTGGAGCCAGTGCATTCCCCTCTGTCCATGTCATACACAGAGGAGGAATGCTCCATTGCTTTGGAGAGCCAGAATTTCTCTAAAGCCATCTGCTCAGCTTCTACCTCCAGAAGTGTATACTTTAAGCATCCACCAGTTTAATACTTTCCCTTATCCTAAAAACAATACAAGGCGTAGTCTTTTAGAAAATACTACTGATGTCTTCGACCCTGATTTATTCATAAAACCCATTGTGAGACACTGATCCCAAGAGTGCATTCCTTAGATCAGCTATATCAATTTCACAGGATATTGAGCAGGTACATACCAAGGCAGCTGGCAGGAACGACTGAAGGACTCAGATGCCTCACTCTCAGCTCAGGTGCCATTCAGAAGTCACAGTCATGAATACTGTCCTCAGATCAAACACGTAGTCAGGTTGGACCTGGCACAAAACCCAGCCCTGAGAAGAAACAGTGCTCTCTGTTATTGTGTGCAATACAACTCACTGGGATACGGGGCAACCATAACGAAATGTGTAAAATTTGCAGGAGAGTTTTGAATCGCTGTTAGCTGTTGGCATACTGTAACTATTGATCACTGACCTAACTAAGTTTCTGGTTCATGATGTAAGCTTTAATCAGTCCATCCAGTCTTGGGTGCCTAACGTCGCTGATGTTAATGGGTACATTCGCTTCTGTGATAACATATTTAAGAACAGAGGAAGATAAGATTTGTTGTGCAGAAGAAATTCCAGCTGGAGAGGAGAGCAGAAGAGAACATGAGATAGCAATGTAGACTCCAAGGTCAGTGTGGCGGGACGGGGGGAAGAAGAGGCCTGGGGAGGCCTCCCTCTACCCCTCCAGCAGGGGAAAGATTGAAAGCTGAGACCCTCTGCTGCCTGTGGAAGACTGCTGGGGAGCGGAGAGCAGAGACCCTCCTCTGCAGCTCACGAAGGAGTCCATGCCGGAGCAGATGAGTGCGTGAAGAGGCTGTAACCTTGTGGGAGGCCTAAGATGAAACAGAGTGTTGCTGGAGACCTGTGGCCCATGGAGAGAGAAACCTACTCTGGAGCAAGTTGTCCCAGATAGGACTTGTGGCCCTGTGGGAGATCTACACTGATGCAGCTAATTCATGACCCAAGGGACAGCAGATTATGGAAGAACTGTGGCCCAAGGGATGGACCCATGCCAGAGGGGTATATCAAGGACTGTCTCCCGTGGGGAGGGACCCCACAGGAAAGAGGGGAAGGCCTCAAAGCCATTACCCCCTGTAACCATGGTAAATGACCATGGTGAAGCAAGTTGTCCCCTTGCAGTCCATGGAGACCATCAGAATGCAGAGAGAGAGAGACCTCTGCACCTGATGGAAAAGTGACCCCCTAGGACAGTGAACTGGAAAGAGATCCTATCTAAGAGATGGATTTTAACAGCAGCAGAAGCAGCTGCTGCCTGTGACCTACCCCCTTTTCTCATCTCCATGTGCAGCTGAGGGAAGGGGGGAGTGGAAGGAAGGTGTTGTGTTTTAAGACTCTTTTATTCTTTAGTTCTTATTTTGTTAGCAATAAATTTAGCTTTTAAGTTTGTTAGCAATAAATTTAAGTTCTATTCACTTTGATTCTCTTTGCCTATGAAAATTAGTTAGTAAATGTCTCCCAGTTCTTACCTCTACTCAGGAATTCTCTGACTCTTTTTTTTTCTCTCTCGTCCAAGAAGAACAGAGGGGGAATGGAGGGGAAAATGGTTTTCAGTAAGTGTTTACAATCTGACCAGAGTCGAAACCCCAAAATAGACCCTGCCTTCCTCCTATTTGTTTGTGTGCTGGGCACTTTCAAATTTCAACTGATAATTTAGCTTGTAACTAACAGAGAAGATGACACAGGTGGGATAAAGCTAGCCACAGCCTCTGGTTCCTGCACTTCTTGGAGCTGTACTTCTCCCATAGGATGGAAGGCCATGAAATAAATATCTGCAATGTGGTTCTGCAGTGCTCTGCCTGTCAATGCTGCTTTAAATACTCTATTTATCGAACGATGCCTGTTTGGAATATCAGTGACCACCAGGACAATCTACTGTTGTTTGCACAGCTTCTAAGTCCCATCCCCTTGGAAGTGTCCCGTTCCTAAGTGGTGTGGTTCTCAGTGCACAGGTGACTGCCCAGGTCCAGCCCTGTGGGTTGTGCAGCATCACGATGTGCCAGCACAAAAGCATCTCCAGCAGCCTGCTTTTTTCAAATGCTTCGCAAGTGCCAAGTCAGAAAATGTTGGGTTTTAGTGGAAAGAAAACAGCTGTTTATTTTATTTTATTTAAATGATGGTGTGGATTTTAATTCAGCAAAGACATGAAGTGTGTTGGTAAATTGTGAGTGTGTGTAGGTGGGTGTGTTGGTGGGTGTAGGGAGCATATGGAAGAACTGCAGCATGAGAAAGCAGCTGACAGAAGGGGTTTGCAAAGTCTAAGGCAGAGCAGACTTCTTCTCTTCCTACATTTTAACTCTCCTTTTCACAACCGTTCATGCTGCAACCTCGTCCTCTCCCTCCTAGTTGATACGTCGTACTCCGATCTCTCTATATTTGCTGTGAATGTAATTCTTGTATTTATAGTTCCAAGACCGGAAGGGGAACACCAAATTTAAAAACAAACAAACAAACAAACAAACAAACCCACAACTTAGTTTGCAAAGCATCAAACTGTACCGTAAGGGTCTTGTGTGTGTGTGTCTGTTTGCTGTCCAAGACACTTCACGCATCAATCGTGGAACCATACCCGTTACCAATAATCAGTAACCACAGCTACCGTACCCCGTTTTTGCACAAAATAGCAGAGTGACAGCACAACTCCAAGCCTTTGGGCTCTGTCCGTGAGGGACGGCAGAGGCCGCTCATCCCTGTCCCGGCCCTGCCCATCCCTGTCCCATCCCTGCCCACCCCTGTCCCGGCCCTGCCCACCCCTGTCCCCTGCCCTGCCCACCCCTGTCCCCGCCCTGCCCATCCCTGTCCCTGCCCTGCCCACCCCTGTCCCGGCCCTGCCCATCCCTGTCCCGGCCCTGCCCATCCCTGTCCCCGCCGTGCCAGCGCCGTCCCACAGCCCCTGCTCGGCCCTGCGGCGGCGGGCGGGCGGCCCCGTGCTGTAGCGCGGCGGGAGCGGGCGGGGGCAGCATTGCCTGCGAAATGGCGGCGGCGGCGCCGGGGCCGGGCGGGAGGGGGCGGTGGGCGGCGAGGCGGGGATGCGGAGAGGGGAAAGAAGAAAGATGAAATACTCTTTTCTCTGCCCTTTCCGACTCTGCCGATGCTTGCTCCGCGACGTGCTCGCACGCGGCTCTACCGCGTTTCTCTTTCGGGGCAGATTGCGAGGTTAAAAAATGAGGGGAGCTCCGGCAGCTGGTGCTCGCTGCGGCATCAGTGACACCTCTGCCTGGGAGTAGTGGCAAAGGCTTCCAGCTGGATTTTTAAGTTGTAAAGCGCATAACCGGTAACATACCAAAAGTCTGGGATCTCACGTGAAAATCAGGTCCAGAGTGTTGGCTTCTCGGTGCTGGAAAGCGGGCAGAACAGACCAGAGTGGAACAGCTGCTTCAGCTGGAGGGATCTACAAGGACAGTCCAACTGCTTGACTCCTTCTGGGCTGACCAGAAGTTAAAGCATGTTATTAAGGAAATTTTCCAATTTCCTCTTAGACACTGACATGCTTGGGGCAACAACCACCTCTCTAGGAAGCCTGACCTGGTGTTTGACCATTGAAGAATCAGTTCCTCTTTGAACAGCCATGCAAAGGCTCAGATTTTTTTGGAGAGACTTTGCGCTTCAACATTCAACATAAGCAGGGTGGCATTCTTCATGCAGTGCCTTTCAAACCATACCTCACACGAGTGAAAAAGAGAAGGAATAATGAGGATTTCTCTAGCACCTTTTGCAGTAGATTGACTTTGCATTTATTTGTATGGTCTGGTCTGGTAAACTTTGGAAATCTTAGTTCAAGCTACCAGATCATAAAACATTACCTTCCCAAGAAACATTTTGTTGAAGGTGCTTACATGACTTGGGAGCACAAATTCTGCTCAGTGAAAATACAAATTATGTTCCCAGTCCCTTTTGCAAGATGTATGTGGGACTTGGTGAAGGCAACAGATGGTATTTCACTACTAAGTCACATTGTTGAGATGCAAGTAACACCTGAGTAAAATGTAAGGCTTGTTCACCTTGCCTCAGATCTATGAAACTTTACAGTTTGTATTTCTAGATATACCTGATGCCAATGGGACCAGCTGCAATTCTCAGCTTGCTTTCCCCCCCCACCCTCCCCCATGTGCCCTCTCACTTATGGTATTCTTCTTAACTTGGATTTTTAAGGTCCTTAGTTATGAATGCAAAAGAAGAGCTCACATGGGGCTTTCCTTTTTTTTGAACATACCCTGGACATTATAATACAGTTATCAGGGAGATAAAGAAGAAAATAAAATAAAAGAGGAGGAATACGAATCCAAAGAGGGGGAAAGAAATGAGGGAAAAGAGAAACACAGTGATAGCAAAGGAAGATTCCAAAGACCAAAGGCAAACAAAGTCTGATGACAGAAGAGAAAAAGCAGTTTTTTCAATCCTTCTGCTCTATTTGCAGTTCTTAACTCCCCAACCTCTGTGGACAAGTAATATTCTAAAAATCTCAGTAATATTAAAATCACTATTTTCTGGTTTTGAGGATACAGAGAAAACCATGAAAGAGTAGCCAGAAGTCAAAGTATGCCTGTGCTCCATACTGCTCTGTAGTGCAGAGATGGACGAACCCAGACAGAATCTGGGCAGTTACCCTGCAGCAATACAGGAGACAAGCCTGGGCTATGCTCCTGGCTCCTGGGCCAATCTGCATCTGCAATAGCATCCCCTCACCATCCTGAAGTCTACTTGTGGACCAGAAAGCAAGTGAAGGACTCTCAGAGTGTGGTATTTTAAGAAAAGTCTTTGTAATTCACAGTTGACTCAGGACTCACAATTATCTACCTCATGAACTATGGGCATAAAGAGCATTGGGCATGTTCTCTTTTCCAATGTGTACCACTTACAGGATACCTCACTATTAATATGTCACTGCCTACAAGAGAATCTTTTCAACAACCTAATCCATATCCATTACTGTTGTCCTCATTTTACAGGAGGGAAGAGATTGTAAATATATAACTTACCACCATTGCAAAGTTCACTGTCAACATCAGAATTTGAGAGTTCTTGTCTCTGAGGACTCTGCTCACATCTCTCAACTGTATTTACTCCAGATAGAAGATTTATTTTTTTTTTTACTTGAAATAAGGTGTCTCAAAGTACTACAGAAATAAATGATCTTTTAAAATAGAATTTGGCATTTCAACCAAACATTTGAAAACATGTAAATTGCAACAAGTTCTGCAACAGAAAGGCTTCCATGGTCCAGTGCTTTCCAGTAATTCTAAGGGGAAAAAGGAATCTGAACAGAAAATCTGACCTTTTCAATAAGAAAATAAACACTTTGACCCAGTTCATTTTCTCTGGGAAAAAAATACGACCATGACCAAAAAACCTACCATTTAAAGTATTTTATTTTATTCAAATAGGAAATAAATATAAATTTGAAACGTTGACAGTTGTTAAGTGGAATTTAAGTCCTTTGGCCACCTCTTTTTCTCTCTTGAAATCACATAGCAAAAACTTTAGCCACACCTGATGTAGGTACATACTAGACTGGGCACTCAATGTTTGAAATACAGTGTATGGAATTGCTCACAGCACATTAAGAATGCTCAGCAATGTGCAGTTTTAGGGGTGCACTTTATGCTGTAAGATACATTGTGCTGTTAACAATCTTTTTTCTCTCACTAAGCACACATTACTTGAGTTTTCTAGTTGAGCATACACCTAAATGACTTTCTTTTTTTTTAAAAGAGGGCCATAAATTGTCATCAAAGACAGGAGTCTCAGTTCAGCTGTTATTTAAAGACTGTCTGCTTGTTCTCAAAGTCCTATATCATCTTTACATCAATATCCTTTATAGAAAAGCAGGAATTCAGGGGATATAAAACCTACAAGCCCAATTAATAAAGCATTACGTACATTTTGCATGTTGAATATGGTGTGGGTTTTTTTAAACAAAATTCTGTCTTGTGGGGGTTTTGAGTGACATTTCTTAATTTCCTTAGCTTATTTTTCAAGATGATTGCTTTTCATCCATTTTTCCAATAAGAAACAGTGGTAACTGCCTCCACTTTGCTATAAACTGCAGGGCGTTGATCCACTTGTCCTCTAAAAGGGGGAAAACCCAATTTTGGGGAGTTCCTGTTAAGTAAGGAAGTTGTACAGTGCTGTGACTCTGCATGTGTCTGAGAGAGAAATCAATTAACATCCAGAGTTGAAAAAAATAATTCACTGTATGTAGCATAGAAGAAAAATCATGCTAAAGTCCTGAGCTAACTCACATAATGCTTTCAAGAATCAGAAAAATGACACTGTCAAAACACAACATTAGTTTTCAGAAGGCTCCAGGCAAAATTTTATTTATTTAAAGTTAGCTCCTATTTTAATAACAAAAAACTGGCAGCGTATTCTACATCAAAGAAAAAACTTTTCCTAATGTTTCCATTCCTCTTGTGAAGTACTGAAGCTGAAGCAGTTGAGCTGTCTTTCTCTAAAATAATTACATGAGTGGCAGGATTGCAACCTGAGAAAGCTTTTTGTCTGCGCTGGGGACTGCATAAAGAATCACATTTAGCTTGCCTAATCTGAGCTGCAATATGAGACAGTCAGATTTGCAGTATTTAAATAGTTGGTTTTAAACAAGATCCATAACAATGAAAGACAAGTCCTGAATCAACATCTTAGCACTCTGTAGCACCTTGATCAAGGAAAGGTACAAATGAGAAGCACATTCATAGCTGTAACTCTCCAGTCAAGACCTATTAACCACATTCCTTGTGGCAGCACCCAGGAGAAATGTCTCCTAACAGCAGGATAGCACACAGCTGGTGGCTTCTCTTGCATATTACCCTCATTTCAGGCATCCTCACCTTCAGATGCCAGACCAAAACACGCATTTACCGTTTTATACCTTGTTGAAGGGATAAGAGATGTGTTTTAAAGTTCACTTCTGGATCTTTTTCCTGGCAACTCTATTTATTCCTCTTTGTTCTTCGTGCATTAATCTTTTATAGTTAGAACTAGCAATACTGAAAGGCAGTCCAGGGTCCTTTCCTTCAAAGACATCCCATAAATAAAGAATAAACCCCTTAGGTCCCTAGACCTGTTGTTTGCCTTTTTAGCTTGACTTCTCCACTAGTTCCTAGTAATATCATTCCTTTGACAATGACTTCTTGTCTGTGTTTCCTTTCTATTAGTTCATATTCTTTAACACGTCCTGCTTTGAACCTTAACAGATCCAGCTCTGGAGCTGTGGAAATTTGGTTACAAAAGACTCTACATCTGCATGTATCTGTGTCTTGCTGCAGAATGGTTGGGTATGTCTGAGAATAGGACTGAACTTTGTAGCAATGAGATAACTCTTACGTCTGAGAAATGTATTTCTTTCTTCTGGGCCCCTGCTCTTTTATAAGCAACAAAATAAATTACTGTCAGGGCAGCTACCAGCAAACCCATGGGATTCAGTGAAGGTGAAGCAATGCTTGCAGAAGCTTGCACCCGTAATGCAATGGCACAACTTCCATCTCAGACAAACGAGGTCTTTCCTGAAAAGTGGGGCTATGGCAATACCACGATGTACCAGGGATGTTATGGTCAGAGAGTACTGTTAACAGCTGCCAGTAGCGGGAGTTGCAGAAGGAGAAGAGACTGCTACCTGACGGAGTATAGAAAAAGGATTTTCTCCCTGTATCATGGCAAAATCTAAAGCAGAACAAGTCTTCTCATGAGTAACAGAAAGTAATAACACTAGCTGCCTGGTAATGTGCCTTTGAGGTTGAAAGCTGCGGCTTCTGTCAAAGCAAATACCCCTACTTGGGGACTGTTGAGAGTGGAGGAGCTCTTCTCCCAGCAGCATAACCACAGAGACCTGCCCACACTCATGCTGCGAGGGGAGGTCCCTAGCACGTGTGTGGCTGTCCCAGTGATGGCCCAGGCAAATTTTATGTGATGGACTTGTAAAGCTCTCTGGGATCATCAGGGATTAATCATGCTGTAAAATGTATCATTAATGTTACTAGATGTATTATAGACTTCTCCTGTGATCTGAGACTGCTGCAGGCAGTGTGCTGGGAGAAAAGCTTTCCAGATTGTGCTCATGCAAATTCCTATCTGTGATCACATTCGTTCTGGTTCCCACTACAACATTACTTTCACACTCATGTGTGCTGCTCACTCAGTCTAAATTTTTTGCTATTGCAGGTTGTATGACTACAACATAGCATGCCTTTGCCAGCACCTTGGAAAGGGTGAGAAAACATACAAATATGGAAATAGAGGCACAAGAAATCAAAAGGACATGCTTAAACTTATCCAGGAAAGGGGTGGTGTGATCCTACCTATGCCTCCTGACTTTAACAGGCCCCCTAACAGGTTACAAGATTGGAGCATCTGTCAATTTGTTCAGGGTGTTTAGTTCAGCTTGTTTTTTTGTTCTGAAACATTTATTTTCTTTTGATCTAGGGATCTTTGTAATTTAGAGAAGAGTTGGAATTTCTGAAAGCTGGGAAAAACAAATGTGAAATCTGACCTATTCTGAGTACATCCTTTTTGCACTGTGGACAGTAAGTCTTGTCATCCAGGTTAAAACATGCAAACAGTATTTCCAAATGATTTAGGATTAGTTGATACAGTCACAAAACAGCCTCATAATAGGAAACGGAGGATGAGCAGACATATCCAAAAATGTTTTTTAAACATTGCAAATGAAATGGAGAGTCAAGGCCAAGGCAAGGAGACTAGGGCTGGTGACATATCCTGTGAGAAGATCCTCAGAACAAATTGTGTATTTGGGAATGTAGGAAAAAAGCAGACAGTGCTCTAAAAAAATGAGAAAAGCAGGAAATCACAGGCAAATCCTAGCCATGAATTAATCCAACAGAAGTCAAATCCAAGAAATTGTAAGCAGTGAATCATCAGTAAAAGGGCACTTGCCTGTAACATATGAGTTCAGTTCACAGGTACCCAGTCTGTTTTTTAAAATTAAAATTTAAAATAGGTCAAAAATATTCAGTGTTCAGATGAAAGTTGAAAAAAATAAGCTTGCAAAGTCTCAAGTCTCTATTTTGAATGTTTGTCTAATGCATCAACACAGGCTGGCTTGCCAGAAGTATTAAAATACAAGTAAAAAGATCATAAATTAGTAAATTGTCAAGTATTCTTAATATGTATTCTCAATGCCAGACATTTATAATAGTAAAAGCAGGTTACTTAAATATTAAGTGCTGGTTAGTACGCAGAGAGCTCAGAACAGTTTTACTTTAACACATAGAATAAGATAGGTTTGCTTTAGCAAACCCATCCTGAAAGAAATAACAAATCATCATGGCTAGGCTTTGCGAACGAAGATTTGAAATAACAAATATTTAACTTCTTTAAAAGTTAAATGAAAACATGACACATGAAAAAGTTTCTGTACTTTAGGATTTCTATGTTCATTTAGTGAACTGTTACGCTATGAAGTACAGATCTTTTATTAAACCAGTGTGTTCATTTATTTGAAATAAAAGTTTTATTCAGTCACTGTATTTTGGTAGACTAGACTCTGCACATAGACAGGAGATAATGGATTGAATAGGATGTCCTTGAAGGAGAAGAGCTGCTTCAGATTACCTCTCTAATACTCAGGAGACCTCCTTGTTCCAATGCTCATCAGACTTCTGAAGGCTAAGAGGAAAGATGCGCCCATGCTATCTGGTGTAACAAATCAGCTCCTGAATCACCTAACTGTAAAACTCATAGGGAAAAAAATTAAATAATCTCTGCTTAAAATATCTCAGTGTCATTTTAAAATCTATTTAGGAAGATCAGCTCTGGTGCCTTTATAGCACCTTAGCCACGTGCATTGTAAAGGCTCACTGGTACTGTTGCTGTCACTGGGTTTTGAAATGAGTACAGTGCAAAGTTACTAAATCAGTTTTGGTCTTGCAGTGCCATTTGGTCATACTTTCAACCAATTAAAGAAATTGATATGCAGAGACTTTTAAAAGGAGGAAGAGACAAAGTTTCACAGACACAGAGAACTATAACAAGAAATAAATTATTTTTGGGAAAAAAAAGAAGCAGAAAAGATGTTTAAGACATATTCTAATACTTGCTAAGAAGAGAATGAAAAATTAAAACCTTGGGCTACATTTTAAAGACATTTTCCCACTCATTCCATTGCCCTTCTGTGTTCTGAGTGCTGGAGTCTAGATCAGCCAACTTCTTGTGATGTAATATGCACACAAAACATTCTCTTGCTGGTTTAGTTAAAATTTAGAGGAACAGAAGAATTTTTGTGTATATTTAAGTCCTCAAAACCAGTGTTTTAGCACATACGGGAATTTATAGTCTCAAGATTAAAACTTGCTGGGGTAAACACTCCACCAAGCTTGCTTTGAAAAAAATATAAAAAAAACACAGCAAAAAACCCCCTGCATCTATAAATTTTGAGGATTAGATGTCTTTTCCTCTTTTCACTAAAACACATATATATGTATGTGCATGTGTGTGTCTATGCCCATCTCCCTACCTCTCATTTTCAGCTAGCACTTTCATTACAAAGTGCAAAAGAGCTCTGTGAAATATCTTATTCATAGTAGGACCCAGTAATTATGAAGAAAGTACAGCAGCATAAGGCAGATAACATGGTGCTATTTCTTTCTGTTATAAAAGTCTTAGGTCTCTATATGGTGCACAACACTTTAATCACCTACCTTGCATATCATTGTTGAACAAATGGCCTCATTCATACCTCAAACACCATAGACTCAGCTTATCGTTTTAGTTACTCACACCACTTAAAAACTGTTTGAAGCCTCTCAAGGAGAAAAAGTCATCAAACTATACTATTCTTTTTTAGCAATTAACAATATAAACCTGTTAAAGTTTTAGTTCCCCCCCAAAAAAGGAAAAGGTTTGCTTTCAGTTGAGAGAAAAATAGATCACACAGTTTTCAGCCCAATGCATTCAGTTACCATTTCTCAATGCAGCTCTAATGGGAAAAAAAGGAGGCTAGTTTGAGTCACAAATCAATTGAGTCAGGAAGATTTGCAGAAAAAGCTAGCTTCTTTTGGAGCAAATATCCTGCCACCTTAAAATATGCAGTACAGTACAAAAGCCAAGATCAACATGTTTCAGTATCATTTTTAAACTCACAATGAAAAAAATGACTGCTACAGGAGACACAGTCAAACTTATGCCATCTCTTTTGTTTCTGTATGTATCAATGAGAACTTAACCTTCATCCTTATCTTTCTGAAAGTACATCTCCTTCTCTTCTGATTCAGTCCAACTTGGGTCTCTGGTCCATGGGCACTCCACACTGAGAAGAATAAAGTATTTCCAGGGAGAAGTGAGAAAATGATTTAGCCTTGTAAAACAGTAGAATTGAAATAAATCAGGCACATCCAGGTATTAACAAGCCCTTTTTTGATCATGGGAAAAACAAGGATCAAATATGTTTTAAGTCCAACATAAAAACGATACCAAATACTAATCAATTAATGTATTGTTAACAGGTTCATCCTTTTCTCCTTAAGAAATTTAATACATACATATATTTATACACTGTTATATAAAAAGCTCTTTGTCTTTCCCTTTTGAAAAATATTTGAAGACCTGTGAAAAAAGTGATTCTTATTAACGAAGATGGCAGCTCTGCTATATTATTTGATGTAATAGTAAGGAACAATAACATTTAACAGTCTCTAATTTCAAATGTTGATCAGCGTAGTATGCTGGCCATGCAGAACTTCTAACAGAGGAAGATCTTATCTTTAGTCACTTGTTTCGTTTCAGCTGCAGCCAAGTGTGTCTCTGGTAGCAGGTAAGAAAACTAAACCAGAATGCTAACTCCACTTCTTAGTTACCTCAATGTAAACTTACTACTATGCAGCTATCTCAGTTATATGCTGGTGCAAGAATGCTCCAGTGCTCACACACTGGAAAAGAAGCAGTGAGAATACATAGATATAGAACATAGGCAAGGCAAAGGTTTGATACTCGTTCTTTAAAGTTTAATTTTATAGCCTTTTGCTGAAAGTAAGATTTCTCTACAGTGCAAAAGGGTTTCTTTCCTGTATTGACCTTATGTAGTGAGTAAAATACCAGTGGCAATGAAATTGATAGGAGCTGTGTGTCTGAGCTGGTTTTAGTGAAAGCAGTGGTAAAACTCCTGTTGATTTTCTGGAGAAGACTGAAGCTCTGGTTTTATAGTAACTCTGAATACTGGTAGCTACCTGAATATTAGTAGCTCTTTAATAAGAGCTGTCTACCAGATGTAAAGCACAAAGATACCCCTGCCTCAGAAAGCAGGGTGGCAAATCCTACTGTCTGGCTATCATCTCCATTATTTGTTTCTGTAAAATATGCATTCTAAATACTCCTCTGAATAATTCTTCTATGGTGATAGAAAATGGCTAAAATTTGACCACAAATAAGGTTTCCATGAGGTGCCTGAAGTGAGTATATTCAACATAGAATTGAAAGGAATCCAGTCTTTAAAACCGTATTGGAGGTAATGTTCTGGTTTCACCTCCATCCAAATGATCTGAAGTTATAATCAGCATATTGTAACCACGCCTAAATATATAAAACAAAAGAGCTGATGTGATCAGATCAACTACATCTCCCACGAGCCACCTGCTATTACCTGTAGACATTTAAAAGTAAGTGAGAAAAAAGTACATTCTTTTAAAAAGAAATCTTTATTCTTCATACAAACCTGACTCTGTCACATATACCGAGGCATCATAAGCAAGCTAAATACGACTTTGCTAAAATCAAACAATATTGCTTCATGAAAGTATCCAACACAGTTAGTATCGATTCTTTTCTTTGTTCTCTCCTGGATGGAATGTATGTGCATTTTGGTATCAGCTCATCTCTTTTAAACTGCTAGCTTAGCCAGCATGTCATATGAATAACTTCCTTGCCAGGTAAATCCACCACAGGTACTAAAATCAGAGCTGGGGCCTTCTCTTCCAGATATTTTTCAAGGTATTTTTGCAGTCCTAAAATAGAAATGAAATAATTAATGAGTTAGCTTTGTCTCGTTTCCTATTGTGTCCTATCTCTTACGAATGATTTTTAATAATTTTTTGAAAATTATTGTGGGGTAGCAATAAAAAAAAAAGAAGCAAAATGCAACTCTTAAATTTTCACTTTATACAGAAGGAACAATTATCATCTCCCACCTCCTTGTCGAATAATTAGAGTAACTTTACATGTCCCCTAAGGCGAAAATTCAGGAAAACAGTTAAATGCATGTTTCAACCTTGAGAGAGTGAGTGGTTTGTCGATTACCAATAGAGCAAGCTGAAACTACGTGCAGGTAGTAAAAATAACTAAAGGCCAGTTGAAATTCAGTTCTTAGTCATTTTTGATATTTGGGTGATCAGCACATAGTTGTCTGTAAATGAAATTCTCTCAAATCCCACTGCAGCACAGCAATCTACTAGAAGTTAAAATGGGCCATTTAAAAAAACTTTATGAACATGATTTTGATTTCAAATCAATGGAAGCATCCCATGTTAAAGAAACAATAGAGGAAGTCCAGGAATGGCAACATATATGACTGCATATCTACAACTACAGTAAGATTCAAACTGCTAAACGTACAGAATCTGGCTACAAGGAGCTTTAAAGGGACTGGTATGTGTGGCAGAAGTTCAGAAACTTAAAAGTCCATTATGGGAACTGAATTAATAATTGATAAAACCTAATTAGAGTATGGAAGAAAACTAAAGAATGGAAAATTTAAACTCAGTATCAAGACATTTCTGGTCATGCTGCAGCCTCAGTGAATATGCCAGAAATCAAGCCACACAGAACCCTAAAGAAGACTACCAAAAACTCTCTGAATGACCCTACAAAAGACAGTTTCCTAATGATAAGGTATGACTGGCATGGATTTTTTTGCAATAAGTTATTTCTGTCAGCAGCTTCTGTGATTATGGCAATTTTTTATAACACTAAGCAGTCTTGGCTAGAGAGGGTGTAAAGAGGGCAGAACTTGAAGACTGTCAGAGCTTTTTTTTTTTGGTTTCACTGCCTGTGAAACTGTGAATAGGCAGTTCAAAGTGTTACCTCATCCAGGATGAAAGAGGAATTTTGCAATTGTATTCACTGAAGCCAATTTTTATCTGGCAGCAGTAGCATAAATACATGTAATAAGGGCAATGCTACCAACAAAGTACTGCTAAGACAGTACCTGTCTTCTGAAATTCTGCTGAGTTCCTTTTGTATTAACATCACTGACACTGGAGGTGAAGATAGGCAAGGATGAGCCAAAGATCAACAGTCACCTCAAAGGTCAAAGGACTTCTTCATCTGGTGTGTAAAAAGGGACTAACTCTTTATATTACTGGTATTCAACAGTGATCCAATAATTAAACATTAACTAGCATTTTTATTCTAAACTTTGACTTCAGAAAACTGTATGGCTGCTAGCTCAAAAGGCATTAAGTGGAAGGGGTAAAGGCAAGCCACCTCAAAAAAATCAGTCATTCCACCCTATTAAAATGACATTTCCTTTTTTTCATCAATTAAAATTTTGAAAGTAGAATTTTAGTCTTTAACCTTTTTCACAGGCTTAAAAGACCAGGTATTCTTTTCAAAGGAAGAATTTGAAAGTGGGGCTATCTGGAAATAGAACTCCATTCTTTTGTATTTTTGAGGTGGCCAAAATAGTTGTAAATATTTACATTTGAACATTCCGTAGTGAACTTGGTTGCCAGTCACAAAGAACCACCTTTCCTAAAGACCACTGCCTTTTCTATTGCTAGTGCCTACATGTATAAATGAAATGTGGATGAAAATCTGGGACATATGTCTCTAAATATTTTATTGTACTTTCAAATCAAATAGTTTGGTATGAAAACAGTCTAAATTAGACATGCCTACATTTAAAAATTGTGGATAAAAGTTTGCTTATGCAAATTTCCCCTGAAAAGCAGAGACTGAGCCATCTAAAACAGTAACATTGTACTCTAAGGTCTCACAGAAGACAATGCACAATTAGCAAATCTGTGGCAACCTATGTAATTATGGCTGACATGATCCAAAAATTGACAGCTATATATTTTACCTGCTACAATAAGTTACTCTAAATCTTCTAAGACTAATTGTATATTTTTAATGATGAGACACTAATAAAGACATGATCTATATTTTTTTCACCCAAATGATGCTTTTAGTCAGAGCCTCAGTCATGAGTGTTTTCTGAAGTTTATAACTATTCAAAGACTTCAAAAACGTCTTTCCTTTATATTACTTATGGAAATGCTTGCTCAGTTGCATGCCATAGTTATAAAGGTTGATGTTAAAAGTGAAAACAAGTAATGGACAGAGGGTTACAATGAGTGTGTTATATATATGACTGCTATTAGATTCCGAGTTATTTAACCTGCCCTGACACAGGATGTTTATTAAAGTGAAAGGAAAACTTGCTGATTCTCAAGCAGCAAACAAGTGGTGTGCATTGTGCTTGTTTTCATTTCCTGTGACATTCCACATTAATTATGTTAGCCACAAGCAGCACATTTGCAGTCTGACAGAGGCTGGCCAGGGACTCCTGAGGCAACAGAAGCCAACAGGGAAACACCAAGGAAGTATCTCAGAGGAATTAAGGGGCGTTCCTTTGAGAAGGCCATACGTCCGACAGCCCAGCTGAGGTACCTTTACACCAGTGCACACAGCATGGGCAACAAACAGGAGAAGTTGGAAACCACTGTGCTGCTGGAAAGTTATCCTTTTTGCCATTGCTGAGACTTGGTGGGACAAATCCCATGACAGGAGTGTAGCTATCGATGGCTACAGGCTGTTCAGAAAAGACAGGAGAGGATGGAGAGGGGGAGAGGTTGCCCTCTACATCAAGAGTTGTGAAGAGTAGTCTTTCAAGAACAGACATGAGAAGGTCAAGAGCCTGCATGTGAATGTCTATGGGACTTGATGAGATGCATCCCAGTGTCCTGAAGGAACTGGCTGATGTAGTTGCCAAGCCACATGCCATGATATTTGAAAACTCTGGGCAGTCAGGTGAAGTCCCAGGTGACTGGAAAAACAGAAACATTATACCCATCTTTAGAAAGGGTAGAGAGGAGGACCCTGGGCACTACGACCTTTCGGCCTCACCTCTGTGCCTGGGAAGGTCATGGAACAGATCCATCTAGAAGCTCTTCTGAGGCACATGCAGAAGATGGAGGTGATTTGAGACAACCAGAAAGGTTTCACCAAGGGCAAGTCCTGCTGGACCAACCAAGTGGCCTTCTATGATGGGGTGACTCCATCAGTGGACAAGGGAAGGGATACAGATATCATTTATACAAACTTCTGTAAAGCCTTTGATGTGGTTCCCCACAACATCCTTCTCTCTAAATTGGAGAGAGATGGATTTGATGGGTGGACTGTTGGATGGATAAGGAATTGGTTGGACAGTCACATCCAGAGGGCAGTGGTCAATGGCTCAGAGTCCCAGTGGACTCCCCAGTGACAAGTGGTGTCACTCTGGGGTCTATATTGGGACAAGTGTGATTTAATATCTTCATTAATGACACAGATGAAAGGATCGAGTGCACCCTCAGCAAATTTGCAGATGCCTCCAAGCTGAGTGGTGTGGTTGACACACCTGAAGGATGGGATACCATCCAGAGGGACCTGGGCAAGATTGAGGTGGGTCCATGGGAATCTCATGAGGTTTAATTAGACCAAGGGCAAGGTGCTGCACCTGGGTGAGGGCACCCCCCAGTATCAATACAGCCTGGGGCATGAACAGATGGAGAGCAGCCCTGCTGAGCAGGACTGGGGGATGCTGGCTGATGAGAGGCTGGACTTGAGCCAGCAATGTGCACTTGCAGCCCAGAAAGCCAGTTGTATCCTGGGCTGCATCACAAGAAGCATACCCAGAAGATCAAGGTGATTCTGCCCCTCTCCTCCACTCTGGTGAGACCCCAACTGGAGTACTGCATCCAACTCTGGCATCCCCAGCACAGGGAGGACATTGATCTGCTGGAGCGAGTCCAGAGGAGGCCATCAAGATGACGAGAGGGATGGAGCACCTCTTGTACAAGGAAAGGCTGAGAAAATAGGGATTTTCAGTCTGGAGAAGAGAAGGCTTCAGGGTGACCTAATTGCTGCCTTCCAGTACCTGAGAGGAATCTACAAGAAAGATGGAGAGGGACTTTACAAGAACATGTAGAAACAGGACTAGGGGGAATGGATTCAAACTGATAAACAGTAGGTTTAGATTAGATATTAGGAAGAAATTCTTTAATGTGAGGGTAGTGAGGCACTGGAAAAGGTTGCCCAGAGAAGCTGTGGATGCCCCATCCCTGGAAGTGTTCAAGGTCAGGTGGGATGGAGCTCAGAGCAGTCAGGTCTAGTGGAAGGTGTCCCTGGTTTGGAAGTGAATGATCTTTAAGGTCCCTTGCAACCCAAACCATTCTGTGATTCTGTGTTTATAACTACATGAAATTTGCTGAAAGCAGGCAAGCTTCATTCTGTAAAATGAATTCTCCTGCTCCCGAAAGATCTGCAGAAGTTCCAGGAGCAGGGTCGATATGAAGCGTCTTCCTGCACTGCTATGCATTGTTACAGGGTACAGCTGAGGGATATGGACATAGCTAAAACTTAAAATGAACAAAAACTATTCAAAGTCTTCTGGCATTACCATCTATTTCTGCCATTTCTCTGTAAAGAGAGGATACTGAGATCAACAGCTCGATGATCTCTTATGCTGACTTAGCAGCCCTTCCATATGACATGGAACAAAGTAAGGTTGTAAGCTATTGTTTTTAAAAAGTGCTTTCACTCTAAGAAAAAAAGTGTCCTGAGAGCTCCTAAAAGGTCATTCCAAATGATTAGGAAGATGATTTTTACATTGTTGCTGTCATTAGCAGGATTTAGGCAGTATCAGGCGAGGCCACAGAATCCACACCTTTTCAGAAGTTGTTATTGCTGCCATACTCTTGCTTCATTGTATATCTGCAGGGAAGGGGTAATCTAATAGCTCATA